ATGTGGGCAATGGCAGATGAGCATGTAAGAACCTTTTCTGAGATGCAAAACACAGCTCAACTTTAGCCCATGTGCCTATTCCCCCTCTAGCTGTTAAATTGGCTGTGTATCATTTGTTTGGAACGAGAAGATATGGCCATGCTCAAGTTTACTCTATGCTTTGTACCAAAAGGAAAGCCAGGGGCTTTCTTTAACTTTAAAAGAGATCTTTACTTTCTTATAGAAAACAATTTATTTTCAGACAAGTGTGATAATTTGGGGCCCATCCTTTTCAGCACAAACAAATTAAACAAGACAGAAGCAATGACTAAAATAGTAAAATAGCTGCCTTTTTCATTACATGTTTGGCAACACTTGGTTTGACACACTATTAGGTAGCCTTACAAACTGTTTAAATACTCTGAATTATATAGCACCACTATTAAGCTTTGATACCATATTGAAAATCTTTTTCCCACATTGATTTATTCTCACTTATAAATGCACACACAGAATGTTGACACTTAAAATGAATCAGTTTCTAAAAGGATTTGAGTTCATTCTGATGAAAAGACCAAATTAATTTGTTTAAAATATTCTGTAATCTTAATATCTTTATCTTTGGCATCTTCCCAGATCCAAGTGTCATACCCAGTTTAAGAACATGAAACAGGACATCCACACAAAAGGACAGACCCTTCATCCTATTATTATTCAATTAACTACTATCTAGAAATTGATAAGCATTGACCTTTGTTCTGAAAGGTAAACAGTCCTGTAAGTTAGTAAGTAAATCAAAAATTTCAGCATTAAGGCTCTTCTCAGCAAAATCTCAGTGGTCTCCTTTTAGCTTATCTGTCCCTCCTGGCTACCGAAGTACAGCTCACAAAACAAGAAGCAAAATGATTTTCCAATCCCACTGCTTTTAAAAATACATAGGAGAAAACTTTTCTTTAAAGAAGAGCCAGTCTCATGATGAGATTCTTGTGGTGCCTAGCCTATATATAATAAATAATAAGCCATCACCACAGTCTCACATTTCCTTCTTCGTAGGAAAATCAAGAAGTCTGCTCTTTATAATAGATGATCAGACATCTGGAGATACCAAATAAAACTGGGTATATATACGTCAGATTAAAACAAAAAGATGTTCGGCTAGATTATTTTTTAAACTAAGATACTTCTATTTTTCTTTGGCTGAGAGCATGAGTTATGCCTGCTGATGGTTCCCCAACCCACTAGTCAAACCAGCTGGGTCAGACACTAGGGCGCTCAAGAAAATAACCTGTCATTTCAGACATACTTACTTACTCGTTTACTTTAATTCTGATTGTCTGACCACTGCAGAGCCTCAATGAGAATGTGCAAATGGCTGGACAGGTTCACACCAAGGGTCTGCCCTACCAGTACTCTCTCAACGATGGCTCTAGGCGTGACAGCCTGAACTGAGGGCAAGAGTGTACAATACTTCCCCCCATTCCCTACCCCCATCTCTCTCCTCCAGCTATTTTCAGCCCAGTGGAGTTACTGATCCATTTATGGTTTGTCTATCTAATGACTGCCTTAGGTCTCCAGTTGGCTATGTAGACTTCTTGCATCCACAATGCTGTTTGGTAAGGAATGCCATATGAGTTCTCCATTGCATGGAGAATATTCACACTACGTAGTCTAATTCCAGCAGACAGCATTTAAAGGAATAACTTTTTTAGTATTGGCAGATATAGATCATGTTCCTCAAAGCATTTGTTCCTATTTATGCAAGAAAAGCAATGACACTGTTCTCGTCTGCTGGTATAGGAACCTCTTTCAAGACTATTTTGGAGACATTCACTTGAATTTTGAATGGTTTTAAAACTCAATGCCCTTCTGAACAAATGTTCCTTCCTTTTAAGCTTCTAAAAACTGATTCATTCTTTTAAATCTGTTGCAACTTTTTTTCTAGAAAATGCACTTCCATGAGCTAAAGTGACCAAGTTTGATATATCTTTGAATTATCCCGCAAAGGGGCTTGCTTTCTCAGTCCACAGAGGCAAAACCTACAATAGCATTAACATTTTCGGTTCTGGTCTTCACAAATACCTTATTCTGAAACCCTAGAGAAAATGCGCCCTACAAAACAAAAGAATGTTTAATGGATTAATATATATAGCTTTTTAATTTTTACAAACTGTACAGATAACTACCACAAATCTCAGGTGTTTTTATCATCTCAATGATTAAATCATCTCTGTAAGTAGCAGCAAAAATTTTATAACCTCTCAGGGCCTGCATCATTAAGTACTGAAAATAACTTGAAGTGCTGTGCAAAGCAAATGGTACAGTTGTAAACTCCTACAGACTCCTAGGAACTTGAAGCCTTTCTTAAGGCAATAGTCAGACATATTTCACATAAATAAAAAGCTCCTTCTCTACTTTTCATTATCAGATGTTCTAATCATTCTGGTATTGACACTCTAGCTTTGCATTAGCATTGCTGTGCCTGCATACACCAGGTTGCCTAGACCAATGCATCTGGAGTTGGTACATCTCTACCACCTCTCTCCACAACAAGCTGAAAACTAATCCACTGTCCGTGAATAACAAGTTTCTCAACAGCAGCTTTTCAATACAGAGCTTGCAATCTGTCTCCCATTCACTTTGTCAAATTATGGTCCACATATCAGCCATTTGCAGCAGTGATATATCTGTCAGGCGTCAAGTACATTTCTTGCAAAGGAAAGTCTTTTTTAGGATTTTTTAACTTTCAAAATGTCTAATCCCAAACATGCAAAATAATGAGTCAGATGCCAAAAAATCATGACGGTTTTTTTTTTTTCCTTTTTTTTTTTTTTCTTTAAATATGTTAATGTCTTTTTCTTTGCTTTCTGGAGCTTTTTCTAGGTCATGTTTTCAAGCTTTTCTCCAAGGCCATAAGGGTTTCAAACATCATTAAAAAGAAAGCAAGTGAGATCCTTTTGTAATTGTATGTTTAAGAAAAGCATTTATTACCATCAAACTTAAACTGTGTTGAACTGACAACCAAAAATCTTTTGAGATGTTTTTGATCAAATAATCCTGAAATGGGAATATTGCTTCAAACCTGTTTTCTCTAGAGTTTTGTTTACATTACTTATGTTTTTTTCCCAGATAATTAGACTTTACTGAAAGCAGGTTGTTTGACATGGAAGAAAGTCATGATTTAACGTTATCTTGAAGGACTCTTTACAATATCAAAATATCTGAGGTGCAGGTTATACATCTCAATATGTACACATACTATCCTTACACAAACAGTGATTTCTTCACTTGAAATTTGTGATTTTCTCCCCTGTAATACTGAATCCCCTTGAAATCTTTACCATGGACTTTTTTTTTCAGTGACGAGAAGGCAGTTTTGTGTGACAAAGTGCATTACAAATCCTTTTAAAAGTTCTTCAGATTTCAACTGTTTTGTGGCGGAAAAGTTCCTGAGTATTGATAAACGTAACCATTCCTGTTAAACGTCATCATCTCAGCTTATTTTTGTGGCATTCACTAACATGGTTTTATTTAAAGAAAATCATTCTTTTCTTCTTTTTTTTTTTAATAACACAGTTCCTCTGTTGGGCATTATCTAAGATCAGTACAGTGTCCTTCCAATATTCTTTCTCTTCTGTCCTTTCTGTTCTGATTAAAACTAGCAGCGATTCAGCAGGAAACCCAGTGGGATTGCTCATGGTGTCTTGAAGTCACCCTTTCTTTCATTGTTTTTGCCTGTTAAACCTTGTTTTGCTCATCAGTCTCTCTCCAGCATCCCACTGGATTCCCAATTTTCCTTTGTCAGCACCCTTGTTTGCAGCTAATTGAGCTCCTCCTCATTTTCCCTGCCCCATTCTCTTCCCCTTCCTTCCTCCCCTCTCAGTTTGCCCATCTCCTCAAGTTTCCCTCCTATGCCTGCTGTCACTGCTGCCCACAGCAGGGGCAGGCCTGAGCACCATGATCTAATGGGGCAGATCCCGGCTGACGAGGTATCTCACTGGTGCTTTATACTTTCTGCCTGTTTCCTGGTTTCTGGGGCATGCACAGGGATCACAGCGTACTTCTGCCACCACAAACTCTGGGCGATGGCTTCCACTCTGCTGGGACTGAAGACTATGGACTCTGCTGGCAGCCCGACCGAGTCAACCTGAGAGGACTGGCAGGGCAGCCTGATCCCATCTAAGCTACAAGGCCGTGGAGATGAGCCGGGGGTCTCACAGAGGCACCTCAAAAGACCTGCCGACGGCCACACTGGCAGCCTGAGGCGGGCGCACTGAGGCTCTCCCACCGCCAATTCCACCCGGCCCTCCCGCCTGCCCCCGGCCCCGCCGCGGAGGAGATACCATAGTAACGGGACGGGGCCGGGCGGCGCCAGGAGCCGGCCGCGGAAGGCGAGTGGGAAAGGGCGGGGACGGCGGCGGGATGGCGGGCGCGGCAGCGCCCCCTCTCCGCGGCTCCCAGCCCCGTCCCCGGCGGCCGCAAATGGCTCTTCCCTCGCCGGCCCCTTTGTGTGAGGCACGCTCGGAGCAGCAGCTCCGCGGCGGAGCGCGGTGCGTCCCCTGCCGCCGCCCGCACAGCCGAGCCCAGCCGAGCCGAGTCGGACCGGGCCGGGCCGAGCCGAGCCGAGGCGAGGCGAGGCGAGGCGAGAGAGCCGGGCGGCTCGGGGCGGCCATTCCAGCGCCTCGTCGCTCCGCTCCCTCCGGGGGTGCGCGGGGGCCCCGGCTGCTGTCGCCGCCTCCCCCTTTATCCCCCCCGCCCCCCCGCAAGGGCCCACTCCTCACTGTGGAGGGCAACCAAAACACACCGCCACCAAAACCCACCAAATAAAAAATAACAACAATCACAACAACAACAACAACAATAATAATAAAATAGAAAGAACGGGAAAAGAACAGAGGGAGCGAGCGAGAGGGAGGGAGGGAGGGAGAAGCGAACCAACTCTGAGACTCCCATAAAGAGCGGCACGCACGGAGCGAGCGCCCCGGTGCCGATGCGTGGGGGAAACAATAAGTACTCGAAGTTACCTGCCCTGCCGTAGAAGAAGGAGGGTTCGTGGGTTCTCTCGCAGACATCTGCAGACCGGTGCTTTTTTGGAAGAGATTTTTTTTTTTCCTCTCTCCTCTCTCTCTTTACAAACCACAAACGGATGTGAGGCAGGGAAGGTGTTTGACTACTGAAGTCAGGCACCTCTTTTTTTATCCTTCTCAGTCTTGTGTGTCCCCCCCTTCCCTCACACACGCATACACTCACACACCCCCCTTTTTTGCACCAACATTAACGACCAAAAGAAAAGGAAAGGAGTTTGCTTGATGTTTTAGTGAAATGGACGTAAGATTTTATTCACCACCTCCTCAGCCTGCAGCCGCTCCTGATACGCCTTGTTTGGGACCTTCCCCCTGCCTGGACCCCTACTATTGCAACAAGGTGACTCGTGTTTTGTGTCGTCCGAGGTGTTTTATCTGTGCTGTCGGTGTGTGCTGTTGTCGCGGCGCGTTGCATGAGCGGGCGCTGCGCTTTGGCGAGCGGCGCACCAAGTTCCCCGGCGAGGCGGAGGGAGGGCAGCGGCACTTGCCGGGGTTTGGGGAGCGCAGTGCCGCCCGCCGCGGAGCGGTGCCGCCGGGACACACACCGGCTCCCCCGCAGGCACCCCAAATTAAACCCCCGGAGTAGTCTGGGGGCGGGCGGCTGGAGCGGGGGGGTGGGTGGGGGTGGCATTTTCCATAACATCTTTTCGGAGAAACGGCGTGGACGGGGATGCTGATGCGGGGGACTTGAATTTCCAGGGCTACTGTTAATGAGAAGGATCGTGCCCCCCACAAACCGGCAGAAACTCTGCCCCGCAGTTATTGTGTCAAAGCGGTACTTGGCGGTGCCGAGAGCACGTTTGTGTATCTGTGTGTGTATGTGTGTGACATACATACACATCTCTCTATATGCACAGTAAGTGTGTATAGTGATGACAAGTCGGTTCAGAACATTTTGCTCGACACTGTCCCGGCTGTGTAACTGCCTTATCAATTTCTCTGTAACTTGATTAAACCTCTGCAAATAGGGTCAGTACCTGAGGAGAGCTAAGTTTTAGGTTCCCGAGCCTCGGGAAGGAGAAACCGCAGAGGAGGCCCCCGCTTGCCCAAATCCCGAGTCCGGTTCCGAGAGTTTGGTGCTGCGATCCCGGAGCACTTTGCGTGACTTTTCCTGCCAAGGAAGGGGGCTGGGGTTCCCGCATTGTTACTGCCGCTGTGGCCTGAGCCAGCTGGTGCTTTATGCATGAGCTGCACTTTCTCTGCTGTTACGGAATGGGCTTTGCACATGAATAAAACGGTGGCCGTAGGAAACGATCGGGGAAGTGCGAGTTGCCCGGAGCACTCCTTTGAGCACACGCCGGCCAAGGGGGGAGCGAGCCGGGAGAGAGCGATGCGTTCAAACCTGCGCGCTCGGGCGCTCGCTCGGGAGCCCGCCGAGGCAGCCCGTGGCGGGCTGCGGCAGCAGATGGCTTTTGGCAGCGCAAACCCCGCCGTGCGCAGGCTCCGCGGGGCCGGTCGCGGGTGCGGGGGGCGGCGGGGACCGGGGGGCGCGGGGACCCGCCTGGCCCGGCCCGGCCCGGCCCGGCCCGCGGCGGACATCCCGGTCCCGCGCCCGGCTATTGTGACGGTCTCACGTGTCAGAGAGACGCTCCGAGCCGTCCCTTTCATGCCGGGCAGCTGCCTCGATTCAGAGATAAACAGCAAAGTAGCGTGTGTCCGTGCTGAGGCGCGGAGGCTGCGGCGCCCGGGTGAAGCCCTCTCAGTTTTCCGGAAAGATTTCCCACATGGTCGCATCTACCAATCACAACAGAAAGGACCAAATTCATCCTGGCTGCATTTCACATATACTCAATGGAGTTATAGAATCCAGGGATAAATCTGGCCCTTTGTGGTGGATGCCTAAGGATATTTCAAGAGAGATCCCAGAGGTATGACTGTTAGCGCTGTTTTAAGTAACTGTTTTGCAGCATCTGGCAAACCTGCCCTATAGATGGGAAGTTTGTGCCAGAAGTGAACTTTGTTCAGCAAGAAGAGTTCAGCTGCATAGGAGCATTTACGTGTGCACTATTTTTTTGTTAGTGCTCATGGGTAATCATGGGGCTACTGCTGCCTTTCATCTGTGGCTTGCTGTTATTTTCTCTATTGTCAGTTTTGTAAATTGTAACAGTGAAGTGTTGCCATGTGAGAAGCTTGGGCTGATATTAATGACATAAGCACCGAAGTGTTTGACGACCCGTTTGGCAGTGAAACTGGACAAACGTTATTAAACCTATCAATGATTTAAAGCTTCAGAAAGAAGGTAATGACTTGAATACACATTTCAGTCATCATTCTTGAGATAGTGGGCCAGATTTAATTTAAAAGTTAAATGCTTTGGAAAATCAGGAATTACTTTAATATATTAAATCATTTTCCAATTAAGTTCCTTAAATAATTTTTGGTGTATTGCACTGCAAATCGAATAAATTAATTTAGAAAGTCGTTTTCAGAATTTCTTTACTAGCTGGCTAAAGCTTCTTTCAAGTCATGCCATGTATGAGGGAGCAAACTGTTCTTTTTAAATGCAAATGAGACACTCATTCTGTAGACAAGTTGCAACTCTTCTGTTTCACTTTGCCTGAACTGATAATGTGCTTAAAAGTGCACAGTCATAAGACATATGTTTTATGCTTGGAAAAGACTTACCAAGAATGTTTCAGTATAAGATACAGAGTATTGAACAAATGTCTTTTTCAGATGTCTTTGACACTGACCATTGATTACATTAAATGGACAGAGTAGGTTTGCCAGGCCCCTTGGAGGCATACATTTAGTGAACATTTCATTTTTCACCCCCTTCACGCAACATGATTAACATTGCTGGGAAAACTTATCTGACTTGTTCTAAACATGTCGTCATGTTACAGTATTGCTCTGTCACTCATTTTCAGGCTGTGTGTATTAGGGAGTTTGAAGGGCAGGAGGCCTGCAGAATTTTGTGTTCAGTATGTTTGGTTGAGTTATTTGCTTTTGATCTCTCCCAGGAAAAGAGGTGGAGATGATGGAGTATGATGGATCCACGCTCTGGGTCAGAATGGTGACCTTCATTAGGTCTTTACCTGCAAAACTCATTCAAAACTGGATTTTACTTCTTGTAAAGTTAGTTAAAACTTGCTTTTGGCCGGTATTAGAGGATTTGGCCCTATTGTTTCATACCTGGGGTTTGCTGCTGTGTTTTCTTTTACAAATCTGCCAGACTTTGATTCTTTACATTTTAAGTCTACTTGAGCTGCTGGTAATTTAGAATGTATTCCACAAATACTTAGCCTGTTTGGTTTTCTAATTGTTCTGTTAGCACTAGTTTTTTTCCTGGTCAGATGATTACTCACAGCATAAAAGTTCCCAGGCACATGCATGGGAGATGTTGACAGTGCACATTTCTGTAGTCAAATGAAAATGCAATAATGTAGATTCAAACAATCGCCTCTTATCTTACAATTTTCAGTTGGCAGGCTTTGTTTCAGAAGACTGCTTAGATCTTTATTTTATAAACCTAAAGTAGCATTCTAAGCATCTTAGCCTAATATTTCTGTATCTGCTGTGAAAGCTCGTTATATTCTGCATATATTGTTATGCAGGCTTTTCCTTGTTTCTCTTGCATTACCCATGAAGAGAGAAAAGTGAAGGAACAATGCAAACAATGTTGGTTATGACAACTGTGTGTGGTATCTCTTATACAAACAGACAGAATGGACGGTATGCTGTGGTATATAGGTCAGCCTTTGAAATAACGTAGTGGAGCTCTTATACTGGACGGATTTAGGGTTGGGGTTGTACTGCTTGACTCTTGAAACTTGAAGCATAATTGCATTTCAGATATGTGCAGGCTAATGCAAGTAGTCTGTTCAGTTGAAGTTTATTTTTGGAAACATCACATTCCGTAATTGAGTTGAATGCTATAAAAGAAATAATTTTGATAATCCAAGTGTCTTAATTTGATAGAAGAAAATGGCCAGTGATTTTGAGCTGCTTGAAGAAGTAGGATAAGTTTAAATGTTTATGTAGAGAGCAATAAATAACGGCCTTGTGGCTTTCCACATTGAAGTGTCATTTCCAAAGACTGCTTTGATCAGTACTGTAAGAAGGATTGGTATATTTTAATTTTAATACTTGCAACTTTGCAGTGTTTTCAGATATCTGCTCACATAAAGTGCAGTTATATAATTATAGTTTGACACAGCTAATGACAGGGATGCTGACCTCTGCCAACAGTAGGCAGAAAATAATGGTCTTTACTGCTCCCAATGGTTAGCCCTGCAGAATTATGCACTGGATTCTTCTGTGATTTGCTACCTTGTTCAAAAATACAGGAGCCTACCACTCATCTTTCTTGTATTCACTAGTAGTTGTCAGTGCAGTGGAAAAATACAGCTAGACAGCAGAGGTAAAATGATAGACTGTAGTTGTTTTTAAAAAGAGAAATAAAGAGGAGAAAGGAGGGAGAGGGAAGAAAAACCTTTCAAAATGAAAAAAGCAGAGTGACATTGGGTAGAAGTGGATAAGGAGATATAATACAGTGCTTTGTAAGGAGGTAACAATCCCACTCGTAATCAGAGTTCCACAGAGCAAAAGTGCATGTATTTATACTCGGCATTTAGACTAATTTATTGTGTAAACTTTAATCTACCATAGACACTATTCTAAATAAAATGTTCCATGGCTGTTTACAAAGTGTACATTATTTACAGTGGCATGGTTCTATCCAGTCTCTATCTGAAACTCAGAATTATGGCAAGTGCTCTGAAGGGCAGCTCTAAAGTTGAAATGCTGTGTTACTGTTTTGGCAGCATTTTAGATCATGCTCATATTGTTTATTCTGGACATGTTTTTTCCAGTTAGAGAACTACCTTGTCCTCCACTGCATTAGAATCATACTTTAAATATGTTGCTGTTTCTTAAAGGAAAGACTAAATAGTTGCATTATGGCTGACTGCTGATTTTCAAGTGTTAAGTGTTTTAGTTTCAAAAATATCACATAGGAAGAAGGGAAATGGACTTTTCTTTCCTATGTTACTAGACCTTAGTATGTAGTCTTAGAGTTGTGGGCAAGCCTCAAGTGTGCCTCCTTAAATTC